AGTCACCCAATTGTCTAACACCAAGTCATTAATCAATGGACTAAATAAGTCCCAACTTAGGCAAATTGCACAATCTCGGTTCTGTGTGAACAGTACCAGAACAGGGTACTATTTAGACACTAAACCACACTTAAACAATCTCATTAGGGCCTAATCACCTACCCTAACCATCCAACCACCAAATACATTTAATTAAGCCTTAACTAAGCCCAATTAAGCCCCTAAATTGCCTAATTTCAAACCTTTAATCCATGATTCTAATTGGTGAACACTTAGGCAATTTAAGCATTTTCGGTACTGGTGAACAGTACCAGGGCAGCAGGCTATTTAGGCCCTAATCCACCTCTAAACCACATCATTAAGCACTAATTAGGTCCCCTAATCACCCCACACAACATTAGACACGATTAGGCCATGATTAAGCTTAATTAACTTCCTAATTACCCTCTAAAAGTACAATTAGACTAATTAAGGGTTTAGGGGTTTATACTCGCCTAATATTAACTCGGGACGACGGGAACGAGCGGTCGATCACCGGCACGCGGTAAAAATCGACGGCGGCGTTCCGGGGGCAAGCCGGCGGTCACGGCGGCGACGGTGGTGACGATTAGTGGCTGGTCTTCTTTGTTTGGGCTGAAACGGCTGCTGTGGGTGGCTGACCAGAGGAGAGGGAGGTTGACGGTGGCTGAGGCGGTGGCTGGCTAGGCGGTGGCGGCTCCGGCACGGCGGTCCGGCGTGGGTGGCCTCCCGGCGGTGATAATGTCCAAGGAAGAAATGGCGAGAAAGAAGGGGAAAAAGGGGGGGGGGAAATGTCTCGGCTGATCAAAAATAGGAGAGAAAGAGAGGTCAAATATGGGTCAAATTGGTGTGAGTGGGATCCAAGTGTTAACATCTAAGCCAATTGGACAACTTTGCCCCTAATCTAATGGCCCATATTTGATCTAATCCAATAATTTAGGGACCCATTGGTCATTTGTCCTTAACCATGGCTGACCAAACCTGGTTTAATTCCATTTAACCTTGGTTACCCCCCAAAATTGATTAAAATTCGGAATTAGCCAAAATGGCCCTAGGGCCATTTTCGAAATTTTTCGATCCCGAACCGAAATTCCAATTTTTGTCCATACCGGTCCTATATATGCATGGCCAGCATAATATGGTGTCGGATCCTTAAAAAAAATCATTCTTTAAGCCCTCGAAAATCAGTCCGGAAATTTTGAGGTGTAAAACCGTAAATTCTCATTTTTCTCCCACAGAATGGCGTCGGATTAATTCCGATCCTTCACGGAACTTTCTCGCCATAAAATACCGGTTCTAAAAACCCAACTTGCGTCCCGATCGGCCCATCACGACCCCATGAACAATAGATCACAGCCACTGTTATTTTCTAATTTCCAATAATTAATGCCCGAATTAAATCCCAAGGCCCGCCATAAAATTTCCACTACCAAATCATACAATTCCGCACCTAACTTTATACAGATTTCACCCAAAATCGCCCGTCGATACCCGAAGTCCAAAATTGTGTTTAGAGCGCGACTTACTAAAATCAAACGAGCATTAACATACACTTCATTGGTCCCGGTAACGGGTCAAAATTCAGGATGTTACAACTCTTCCCCCCTTACAAAAATTTCGTCCTCGAAATTTGTACTCTAAACTTGCTCCTCAAACAACTGGGGGTGTTGACGTCGCTTGGCCTCTTTGCTTTCCCATGTAGCGCCTTCTGTCCCGTGGTGCTCCAAAACTACCTTGACCATCGGGATCGTCTTATTCCGTAATACTCGATCTTTTCGGTCCTTAATTCTGATTGGTCTCTCCACGTATGACACCCTGTCGTCCACGTCTATCTCTTCATATCTCAGAACGTGTGTCGGATCTGGCTCGTATTTTCTCAACATCGACACGTGGAAGACATTGTGTACCTGAGATAAGTTAGGTGGCAGGGCAAGTGTATAGGCCATATCGCCAATCTTTTCCAGAATCTCGAACGGTCCGACGAACCTCGGACTCAGCTTTCCTTTCTTGCCGAATCGAGATAACCCTTTCATAGGCGATACCTTGAGGAAAACATGATCTTCGACTTTGAATTCTAAAGGTTGTCGTCTCCGATCGGCATAGCTTTTCTGATGGCTTTGTGCTGTCTTCAGCCTTTCTCGAATAATCTCGACAGCTTCCACTGTCTGCTGTATCAACTCTGGACCAGTAATACTTCGCTCACCTACTTCGTCCCAGCACACAGGAGTCCTGCATGCTCTGCCATACAAGGCTTTAAATGGGGCCATCTGAATGCTCTGCTGGTAACTGTTATTATACGCAAACTCTACCAAATGTAGCTGCTCCTCCCATTTACCTTGGAAATCTAGCACGCAAGCCCTGAGCATATCTTCTAGCGTCTGAATCATCCTCTCAGACTGGCCATCTGTCTGAGGATGATAAGCAGTACTGAACTATAGCTTAGATCCCAACGCCGTCTGCAGACTTTTCCAAAAATTGGCGGTGAATCTAGGATCACGATCCGAAGTTATAGACACTGGTACCCCATGTAGGCGAACTATCTGCTGCACATACAACTCTGCATACCATTCTAATGCGAAATCCTTTCGCACTGCCAAAAAGTGTGCCGACTTAGTTAATCTGTCGACAATCACCCAAATGGTGTCATGGCCTCTTTGACTTCTCGGCAATCCCGACACAAAATCCATGGTTATATGTTCTCATTTCCACTCTGGGATTTCCAATGGTCGCAACAGTCCTCCAGGCTTACAATGTTGAGTTTTCACCTGCTGACAAATCAGGCACTTAGCCACGTGCTTAGCAATATCCGACTTCATACCATTCCACCAGTAATGTTACCACAATTTCTGGTATATTTTCATGCTGCTCGGGTAAATATCATGACTGCTCCTACGAGCTTCCGATAAAATCTCTTCTTAAGCTCCAACTCATCGGGCACACACAAATATCCTCAAAGCTTCAAAATTTCATCCTCGGACATTTGGAAGTCCGGTTCCCCTTAATGCTATCCATGTATAGAATTCTTTGAATTACTTGATCCGCAGACCGCAAGATCTTACTCTTATTCTGAATCTCCGATTCAATCCTCAGAGTGGCTAGCCAGCTTGAGATTTAACTTATTTTGAATCTAACCCTGAGTCTCGTACTCTTTCTAACAATGCCCATTCCTTACCATCAAATGTGCGACACTTAAGTTCAGACTCAATACATCAGTTACCCGATTGACCTTTCCGGAATGATACCAAAGGTCACAATCATAGTCCTTTAACAACTATATTCACCGATATTGCCTCGGACTTAACTCCTTTTGCGAAAACAGATATTTGAGGCTCTGGTGGTCTGCATAAATTTGAATTTTCTCTCCACATAAATAGTGTCGCCACATCTTCAGGGCAATTACTATTGCAGCTAATCCTCAATCGTGCATCAAAATAATTCATTCCATGCGGCCTCAATTGGCGCGACGCACATGCAACTACCCTTCCATGCTACATCAAACATATTCAAGTCCTATTAATGACGCGTTACTATATATCTCGTACCCTCCGGGTCCTGACGGAATAATCAACACCAATGCTGTCGTTAATCGATGTTTTAATTCCTGGAAACTCCGCTCACATTTATCAGTCCAATCAAATTTCGTTTCCTTTTTCAACAAATGCGTCAACGGCATTGCTATTGACGAAAATCCTTTTGCCAAACATCAACAATAACCGGCCAATCTTAAGAAACATCGAAACTCCGTCACGAATTCTGGTCTTGGTCACTTAGTCACGGCCTCAATCTTTGACGGATCTACAGAAATTCCATTTCCCAACATTATGTGTCTAATAAATGCTACTCTGCTAAGCCAAAACTCACACCTACTGGACTTAGCGAAGAGTGCATGTTCTCTTAAGGTCCGTTGCACCTTACTCAACTGCACTTCACGCTCTTCCGAGCCTTTCGAATACACCCATACATCGTCAATGAACACTACGGCGAAATGGTCTAGAAACTCCTTAAACACCCGCTTCATTAGATCCACAAAGGCAGCATGGACATCGGTTAGACCAAAGGGCATCACGGCAAACTCATATTGCCCATACCGCGTCCTAAAAGCGGTCTTAAGAATATTCTCTTTCTTGATCCTTAACTGCTAATATCCGGTCCATAGACCAGTCTTAGAGAACACTGAGGCTCCTTGCAATTGGTCGAACAAGTCATCAATCCTCGGCAGTGGTTACTTAGTCTTAATCATCTCCTGATTCAACTGCCGATAATCGCTGCACAACCTCAATGATCCGTCTTTCTTTCTCACAAACAATACCGGCGCTCCCCATGGAGACGCACTCAGTCGAATGAATCCCTTGTCTAACAACTCTTGCATCTGCACTTTAATTCCTTTAACTCCGATAGCGACATTCTATAAGGTGCCTTCGAGATTGGCTCAGTTCTAGGTGCCAACTCGATTACAAACTCTACTTCCCTTTTCGGCGGTAATCCTGATAATTTTTTAGGAAACACATCGGGATATTTACACACTACCTCTATATCCTCAAGTCTCGGCTCTTCAGCCGTTGAATCAATTACTGCAGCTAGGAACCCTTGACAACCTTCACTCAACAATTTCGTCATTTCCAACGACGAAATCCATGGAATCGAGGGCCCTCCTCGACTTCCCACAAACTTGAATTCCGGATGTCCAACAGGATTAAATTGGATCACCCTACTATTACAATCCATCACTGCATTTTGATTAACTAACCAATCTATATCCACAATTATATCGAGGCCATACATAGCCAGAACTGCTAGGTTTATTCTTTCTTCTCTATCATCGATCACAGAAGTGACAGTCCTTTCTATCATCTCAAAATCATTTGCCTTGGCTCGCTCATAATTCTTCTTATAGTCCTTCAGACTCAGTGATATCGTCTGACTACAGAGGTCCGGCTTCAATCCATCACGGAACCTCCGGGCCCTATCCAATGAGTTCTTCATTATTTTTTAGGCAACCTAGATAATTGAGTGAACTCAGCCTCGTACTGGCTTACTGTTCTCTGCTCCTGATGAAGCCTCATGAACTCCGCCAACTTTTGTTCCTGGGCACTTTCAAAGGAATACTTACTATTAACGATTTCCACAAACATCGCCCAAGTCTGGGCGGTACCAATCGGGAATACTCTGTCCCTGACAGCCTTCCACCAGTCGTTGGCATTGTCTTGCAGCTGATAAGTCGCCAACGAAATCTTTTCGGTCTCAGTACATCCCAACAAGTCAAACGCCTTCTCCAATTCTTCCACCCAACGTGGGGCGGTTTCAGAGTCACCTATGCCCGTGAACTTGGGCGGTTTCAGCTTGAGAAACTGCTCCACCAACTGGTGCATCGGTCTAACTCCTGCTGGCTGCGCCTGTCCAACATTAGCTTGATTCTCATTCACAGCAGCAGCGGCTACCATCTCAGCAGCCTGGGCTGCCACATTGTCACGCCCTTGAGCTTGCATATCCAGCACATTCCCAATCCTTTCTAACACCCGTAGAACTCCTTCCATACGTGGATCTTCCACAGGTTTCACATCAACCCGAGGGTCTATTGCAGCCCCCACATTAACTCCAAGGTTTTCTACTGCTCTAGCTCGAGCACGACCTCCACCTCTGGTTCCTCTTCCTGCACCCCTTATGTGAACTCTTCCTATACCTCTCCCCTCGCTACTCATCTTGGCTACTTGGTTCTACAACTACCTGCTATAATTCCATAAAGGAATTAATGACTTAAACCAATCTATCCCAGTCTACGTCCTAGGCAGGTATTAAACATCGATTAAACAATCAGCATGCGGCTTAATAAAAACTAGCCAACTCATCACCCAAGGGATTCACATACTCACCTCGGGTTCTGCCGCACCTGCATAACACTGGTTCAATTAATCACTAAAACACTCAAACACAAGCAGTCCGGAGGTACACTTAGCACACAAGGTCACCCTACGGCTACCCATGGTCACTACTCCTTATCACTCCAGGGTTCGACCAGATTGTACCGAGCTGACCTTGCTCTGATACCACTTCGAATGGGGATGTCACGCCCCGTACCCCACGAAGCGTTAACATCCCGTGTACAGGTCGAAATTATGGTGCGACACTCCCAGGACACGTCGCCGACCCAAAACCCAACACAGGAGATCAAGCCACAAGCGAAAGCACGATATATAAATAAATATACATCACCCAGACAAAATAAACATGAGCCAAGGATAGCCGCACACGAGTGATCAGCAAATAAAAACAACTATACTCTTTTATAAACATATAGAAGCTTATACAAAATCCATTTATAAAGAGCCAAAACCAAAAACGAGTCGCGGCCAAGACGAACAAAAAGGATCAGTGGTCGGGGTACTAAACTGAGCTAAGATGGGCTTCAGTCAAAAAGATATAGCCCATACTAAAGTATAATACCTAATGTACATATTTCCGTCCCCCACTGGGCGTACAGACATCGTCTTCTCAATGAAGTGGGGAATCCCAAAATGCACGAGCGGCTCCGCCATCTTTACTGCCAGGGTCTGAAATATCGGTTTTCCAACAACCGTGAGATAAAACTCAGCAAGTACAAAACCCCTAATCCTAAACTAGGCTAACGTGCACCTCCAGATAGGTAAATCGACACAATGAACTCATGAACCAGTAAATCATTATAAATTTGTCCGGCTCACAGCCCAATTCATTATCTCAGCCCTGCAAGTTAGGCATTTGAATTCAATGTGAATCATGCACAATTATAACGACCCGAAGGCCCACAATTGAATATAGCGACCCGTAGGCCCGACCTGAAGGCCCACAATTTAATAAAACGACCCGTAGGCCCGACCCGAAGGCCAACAGTTTGTTAAATCGACCCGTAGGCCCGACCCGAAGGCCAACAGTTTGATAAATCGACCCGTAGGCCCGACCCGAAGGCCAACAGTTTGATAAATCGACCCGTAGGCCCGACCCGAAGGCCAACAGTCTGATAAATCGATAGGCATTTATAATTACGCATTCAATCCGGTTATTTAACAACCCGATATGCATTTCACATGCCCAGGAATTCATGCCATTTACCAAAGCCAAATTATCAAATACTAATGTCCATCAATTCAATGAATTGGACACACTCTCGATAAATCCAATTAATTTACATTCTAATTCAATCAATTCGGCACTCATTCCGCTCGATTATTCCAAGGCAATTTAATACGCCTAAGGTCCGCTTTGGACACAACGATTTCATTAGACAACCTCACCATCACGGATTTCTCCAATAGGGTTTATACAAGCTCTCAATAGTCATCCAATTGTCTAACACCAAGTCATTAATCAATGGACTAAATAAGTCCCAACTTAGGCAAATTGCACAATCTCGGTTACGTGTGAACGATGCACCGGAACAGTACTATTTAGACACTAAACCACACTTAAACAATCTCATTAGGGCCTAATCACCTACCCTAACCATCCAACCACCAAATACATTTAATTAAGCCTTAACTAAGCCCAATTAAGCCCCTAAATTGCCTAATTTCAAACCTTTAATCCATGAATCCAATTGGTGAACACTTAGGCAATTTAAGCATTTTCGGTACTGGTGAACAATACCAGGGCAGCAGGCTATTTAGGCCCTAATCCACCTCTAAACCACATCATTAAGCACTAATTAGGTCCCCTAATCACCCCACACAACATTAGACACGATTAGGCCATGATTAAGCTTAATTAACTTCCTAATTACCCTCTAAAAGTACAATTAGACTAATTAAGGGTTTAGGGGTTTATACTCGCCTAATATTAACTCGGGACGACGGGAACGAGCGGTCGATCACCGGCACACAGTAAAAATCGACGGCGGCATTCCGGGGGCAAGCCGGCGGTCACGGCGGCGACGGTGGTGACGATTAGTGGCTGGTCTTCTCTGTTTGGGCTGAAACGGCTGTTGTGGGTGGCTGACCAGAGGAAAGGGAGGTTGACGGTAGCTGAGGCGGTGACTGGCTAGGCGGTGGCGGCTCCGGCACGGTGGTCCGGCGTGGGTGGCCTCCCGGCGGTGATAACGTCCAAGGAAGAAATGGCGAGAAAGAAGGGAAAAGGGGGGGGGGGGGGGAAATGTCTCGGCTGATCAGAAATAGGAGAGAAAGAGAGGTCAAATATGGGTCAAATTGGTGTGAGTGGGATCCAAGTGTTAACATCTAAGCCAATTGGACAACTTTGCCCCTAATCTAATGGCCCATATTTGATCTAATCCAATAATTTAGGGACCCATTGGTCATTTGTCCTTAACCATGGCTGACCAGACCTGGTTTAATTCCATTTAACCTTGGTGACCCCCCAAAATTGATTAAAATTCGGAATTAGCCAAAATGGCCCTAGGGCCATTTTCGAAATTTTTCGATCCCGAACCAAAATTCCAATTTTTGTCCATACCAGTCCTATATATGCATGGCCAGCATAATATGGTGTCGGATCCTTAAAAAAAATCATTCTTTAAGCCCTCGAAAATCAGTTCGGAAATTTTGAGGGGTAAAACCGTAAATTCTCATTTTTCTCCCACCGAACGGCGTCAGATTAATTCCGATCCTTCACGGAACTTTCTCGCCATAAAATACCGGTTCTAAAAACCCAACTTGCGTCCCGATCGGCCCATCACGACCCCATGAACAATAGATCGCAGCCACTGTTATTTTCTAATTTCCAATAATTAATGCCCGAATTAAATCCTAAGGCCCGCCATAAAATTTCCACAGCAAATCATACAATTCCGCACCTAACTTTATATAGATTTCGCTCAAAATCGCCCGTCGATACCCGAAGTCCAAAATTATGTTTAGAGCGCGACTTACTGAAATCAAACGAGCATTAACATACACTTCATTGGTCCCGGTAACGGGTCAAAATTCAGGATGTTACACCCGATACGGCAACATTGTGTAGAAATTCTTATTTCATCATATTTATTGATGATTATTCCCAATATGGTTATCTGTACTTGATTAAGGAAAAATTTAAGTCTCTTGACAAGTTCAAGATTTTTCGAACTGAAGTTGAGAAATAGTTGAAAAAAGTCATAAATGCTGTCAGATTTGACCGTGGTAGTGAGTACTATGGCAACCATGGTGATGCTGGATAGATTGAAGGGCTATTTGCCAAATACTTGGAGGATTCTAGGATAGTAGCTCAATTTACTATGCGTGGGAGTCCTAAATAAAATGGCAAAAGGACACTATAAGTGCCATAACTTGTGTACAGCGCTCACTTTGGTGCCATAACTTTTTTTCGGATCACTTTGGTGCCAAGTCGGAGGAAAAACGATCACTTAAGTGTCATAACTTTTTTTGGATCACTTCAGTGCTAAAATTTTTGAAAAACGATCACTTAAGTGCTAAAATTTTTGAAAAACGATCATTTAAGTGTTAAAATTTTTGAAAAACGATCAGTTAAGTGCCAATCTCCGGCGAGACTCCGGTGAGCCACGTCAGCTTCAGAAATTAATAAAAAAAATGCCACGTCAGATTTCCGGCGAAAAATTGTGTACGGCACCGGAGTTGGCACTTAAGTGATCGTTTTTCAAAATTTTTAGCACTAAAGTGATCCAAAAAAAAGTTATGGCACTAAAGTGAGCGCCGTACACAAGTTATGGCACTTGTAGTGTTCTTTTGCCTAAATAAAATGATGTGGCCGAAAGGCACAATTGCACCTTTATGGATATGATGAGGAGTATGATTAGTAGGACCAACTTACATGATTTTTGTGGGGTGAAGCTTTGAAAGCAACTCTTCATGTACTAAACCATGTTCTTACCAAACTTGTTTCATTGACTCCTTTTAAGTTATAGATTGGATGTAAATCAAGTTTAGACCATCTTAAGGTCTAGGGATGTCCTGCAGAAACAAGGTTATATAATCCAACATTAAATAAGTTGAACTTCAGAACCATCCGGTGTTATTTTGTATCTTATCCAGATCATTCGAAGGGCTATCGGTTTTATAATCCTAATAGAGGCACAAAAGTTGTGGATTCACAGACAGCGAAGTTTCTAAAATTTGTCGTGTTTGAAGAGGGTAGTTGCTCATAGACTATTAAGGATAATAGTATGGTAGGAACTACTGTGTCTATTTCTGTACCAATGCAAATGATTATAGAGCCTCCTATACCACACAAATTGAACCATTGAGGTTTAGGATCTTGTTATTGAGACAGTTCCTAATAAAGTTCTTCAAACCTTTCAAGTGCAGCATGAGGTTGTAGTGACTCTACTCAGGAGATTAACCAAGCAGAGACAATCAACTATACCACCATACTATATAGTCTATATAGAAGAGCATAACTATGATATCAGTTATGTTATTGATCTAGTGATTTATACATATGATGTTTCTTGTTGTCAATCAGATCTGTGATTGGATGCGATGAAAAACGAAATACAATTTATGAAACATAATGGTGTTTGGGAGCTTGTTGAATTGCTTGAGGTCACAAGCTCATCGGCTATAAATGGATGTTAAAACTGCTTTTCTGAATGGAGATTTTTTATAAGGAGGTTTACATGGAGCAACTAGAAGGCTTTGCAGCAGATGATTCAGGTAAGCTTGTGTGTAGACTGAAAAAGGTCAATTTATGGCCTCAACCAAGATTCTAGACAATGGTACTTAAAGTTTCATAGTATTGTCACTTCTTTCAGTTTTGTTGAGAACAAAGTAAATCAGTGTATGTACTGCAAGGTCAGTGGGAAGAAATTTATTTTTTTGATGTGGAGGATCTTGATAAGGCTTCTTTTGTCCTTAGCATCGAGATCCATTAGGATCGTTCCAGCTATATATTGGGTTTATCTTAGTGGACATATATTGATCGTATTTCAGAAAGATTTAGTGAGTAGCATTGCAAGCCAGGAATTGCTCCTATCATTAAGGGAACTAAACTGAATCTGTCACATTTTCCTCGTTCAAATATCGAGAAAGCACAAATGAAGGATGTGCCTTACGCTAGTGCATTTGGAAGTATCATGTATACTCAAGTTTGCATTAGACCAGACATTGCTTTTGCAATAGGACTTCTAGAAAGATATCGGACAAATCCAGAACACAATTACTAGGTTGCTGTTAAGAAGGTTTTGAGATACATAAAGAGGACAAGGGACTATATACTGATTCACAGATATGTTCAGGACCTGTAGCTAGTACGGTATCCAGATGCAGACTTTACTAGCTATCAAGATGAATCAAAGTTGACAATTGGATACATCTTTATTTTAGCAGGAGGTGCAGTATCATGGAAAAGTGAGAAGCAGAAATCTATATTGACCTCTATTATACAAGCGGAGTTTATAGCATGCTTTTCAGCAACTATTCAAGTTATTTGGCTCCGGAACCTCATTAGGGAGTTGACTCTATTTGACTTTGTGGATAGACCCATACAGTTGTATTATGACAATAACTCTGCAGCGGTATTTATGAACAAGAGCAGAGGTCTCAAGGGGTCAATAATATGATGGTCAAGTTTTTTTTACTATAAAGGAAACAATTTAGAATGGTGACATTAAAGTAGAGCATATTCTCACAGATGATATGATTGCAGATCCACTAACTAAAGGCCTTCGCTCTTGTGTGTTTGAACGAAATGTCATTAACATGGGCTTAGGAGCATCATGGGACGTTGTTGTTTAGTGGGAGCTGCTTTTATCTTTGCTCTAATAAAGCTTACATCTGTGTTTTGTTATATTTAGTAACATGTTTTGATATGTATCAACTCCTTTGCATTCAATAAGGTGTTTATGAATGCATTGTTATCATGTTGAATACATATATCTGTGAAAATCTCAAGGTATTGTGTAAACCTTAAGTAAAGGCTAGGGGCATCCGGTTATTAGCTTTAAGGATATGTCTTGTTACACATAAAGTAAAGTTAACTATAAGAATAAGACATATGTAGGTTCATCTGAACCATAAGAATATTCTCTAGTGACACATCCGGTTTTGTGACACTTAAGGAGAGAGAATATGGACTGACAAAGGGGATGACGCATAAGGTATTACTCTTTTTGAGGTGTTATCCAATTGCCACACTATCATATTGAGTCAATATCAGTAGAGTTAAAAACATATGTGACCATGGAAGGCACTATGTGTATACATGAGTTACCGCCATGATTCGGTGTTTGAGACTTTATGAGATCGGATTGACTATTATTATCACTAGACCAACATAAATGTGCGCACATATAGTACAATTTCAATTAATATAGCCCAAGTGGAAGAATGTAAGATTTTTTTTGATGTGGGCTACATTTATTTATATTGTAATTTACCGTTTTACGGGGTTGGTCTAATAAGTTTAGATATAAAGTTTCTTAATTAGTCTAATATGGGACTGACTAGTGTGGGCCGATTAAGGCCCAGCCTGTGATGAGAGAGTCCAACTTAAAACTCTATAAATAGTACTAAAGTCCCTTCTCTAACCCTAATGCACAAATTATCTCACATAAGAGGCAAACGCAAACTATGAGAGGCAGTATCATCGAGCCAGTGATACATAAAGTAATAGAGGAGAAGACTTGCGCTAGGGATCGTCGCTATTTCGCATAAAAAACGATGGATTCCAAATAGGGTGCACAAATTCCTTTTACTCAATTACTTGTTCTAGATTCTAGCTATAGAGATCTTGGGTGTCATTTTATCATGACTAACACGACATATATACCTTGGATTTGATTTACCACTTGTGCAGTTGACGACTCAGCGTGTCCAATTCTCTCATTGGTAGGCGGTGATGGCGAATTGTTACCACCAGTATTGTTAGAATTGAGTTGATTCCTCGTACGCATCATTGTATCTTCTCAAACTAGCCACACTTGACTCAATGGGTGTGGCAAAAATAAGCTTCACTGGAATTTCTCCATGACAAAATATCTTTCACCAAAAGTCGTTTTTCGATTTTTTTAATTGGAGGAGATGGGTTCTATGGTGATTCTTGACAGGAAAAATCATAGGTGATAAATATATCAACAACTTGAATTCAAATGGGTAACTGTACAAACGCAAACTGTGTCGGAATTTAATTGACGACAAGGATTAGACAATATAGATTCTATGATGGAACTGAGTGAAAAGAAACTGTGTCAAAATTTAATCGACGACACAGTCTAAGAACACAAAGATGTTATGCCAAACATTAATTGACGACACAAACACAGGAAAAAAATATACGTCGGAATTTAACCAACAACTCAGATCTAGGAACTACAACTAAGAAACGCGCCGAAACTTAATTGACGACGCGAGTTTGGAAAATAAAAGTATAGTGTAGGAAAGTAAAGCTATTGAAAGATAGTAAATTTGTTTAATTTGTGCGAGGGAGCTTTTAGTAGATGGCTAGTGGTATTTATAGTGGTTGTGTCGTTACTGCTCTTAAGCGGTTCCTAGAGATTGTGTCCATGTTCCTCCACTTCTGAAAGTCCTGTTTCCATACTCCTCACGATGCCATGATATTGTTTACAAGTGATTGTTCTTCTAGAAAAAACGCACAGTTATCCCACAATCTCAACTACTCTGCTCTCTAAAGGTTTCAAACTCGTAACCCCATTTTGATGCTCCTTATGCGTTCAAGTTCTTCTTATTGTACTGACAGTTCTCTAAGCCTATTAATCGATACCTTTGTCGACCATCGTTGGCCATGCATCATCATATATTAACAATATTGGCCGTGATTATCGATGTATGCAAATATCAATATTGATTTTCTTGATCGTCGTCGATGGGTCATGTGCTTGACAATATCTAACACTTTAATCACGTGTCTACTCATATCGACAACCAGGTCACTTTTTTGTGCAAACAGAAAGTAAAAACTTTTGAAATTCTTGAAGAAAATACATGAGTATAATGTGGAGAATCCGTCGATTCTTTTCAATTGTCATTGTACAACGACTTTGCCATTACGGAATTAGCTCTATTAAATCACAAACAATCCCCCCAGATAACGCCATAAATGATCATATGCCTACTGAGAAACACTCTTTAAGTCACAACACTTGATTGTGGTTGGATTCTCTAGTTTGTCTACTAGCAACTGTGTGATACATGGTGTGCGACAATTCGCTCAGCTTCCCAAACTGCCTCTCGTAAAACTCCAACAGCTCCAACCTGAAAATTCTCACACAACAGATGATATGAATATATATATATATATATATATATATATATATATATATATGTGTGTGTGTGTGTGTGTGTGTGTATTCACCACAATAAAATAAATAAATGACTTACCAATAAGCCAAACATTGGAAGGGTGCATATTTATCATAAATCTCCTTAAGGTCGCCCTTAATGGTCTTTTTGGTGCATCTTTCCCTTGCATGTACCTTTTGCCAAAGAAATAGAACGCATCATCCATCAAATTATTCGGAAGGGTGGTTATTGTGTACGACATATATTTTATGTTCGAAATTCACTTTCATACATGTTTCAAAAACTTGATTGTTTCGCTATCCCACGGAACCTCATCATAAAAGCCGAGGCACATCAAAACGGTAGCCCGCACGAAAGATCCGACCCCGCTTATGCCCTTGATCAATATCCTGCATGATGCAGCATCCTGCACTCCCTGGTATCTGTCGATATTGAGCTTCCCCTCCTCTATCTCCATGGCAAGCTTGAGAATGTAGTTGGTCCGGTACCCGAGTTTGCACTTGCTCTGCAAGTAGTCCACGTCGAGGGTAGCAAGTTCCTTGGGGCTCGGAAAGTTGCCGAGGTCAACCTCTTCGCCTTCCATCTCCGCGGGAACCGGGTTTGCTCCATCCTTCTCTCGTCTTCGTTTCTTTCTCTTAGAGCCTTCAATAATGATCATCTTCATCTTCAAGTTGTGCTAAATATACTGAGAAGAAAGTCATGCCAAATAGTATTCTTACCTCGAGTGCTTAGCTCTAGCTGAAGTGCACATAAAGCTCGGGCCATCTCTACGGTCCTTCTCCACCTATGACAATTTTAGGTAGGACACAAATCAGCATTGTCAACCCTTAATCAATATGTATGTGATTCGGATGGCATGACAAGAGGTCACGAACTTTAAGTGCGAAAAATTCGATTTTCTTTAATATGATTATGGAATGTCAAATATGACTATGATGAAGAACAAGGTCCAAAAACAAGGTGAACCTCTCACAGGAGCATCATCGTCATATATTGTTCAAAATCAAGGGCATCTGTTCGTTGGGTGTGATTCAGAACAAAGTCGGACCTAATGATGCAGAACAGAAACCACCATCCATATTTCGAAAAGCTTATGAACACATAAACTCAATATTAAGCATGAAGAGAAATCGAGGGATCATAATAGAGTATGATAGTTCCTCAATTGTTACAGTTATGTGGTTTCTTATTCAGGTCATCATCTTCTTTGTCCTACTTCTAAATGTTCAACAAAGCTAATTCGTCACAAATTTTGCACAAGTACTTAACTGGCAGTTGCAAAGGAGTATAGATTTGACGACATCTTCGAAGAGCGAAGGAGAACGAAAAACTCGACCGAATCCTCTATCCTTCGCTTCCGGATGCACTTTATGGAACTCCTTCACGTTCCGCTCGTCCCTTTCCGACAACCTTAACATCCGAATCACTTGTTCCTGCAATAATATATATCCATGCTTTTTCGTCACTAGTTTGCATGTACTTTCGGCGCACAGGCAGAGTGAGATAGAGAGAGTACAAAAATCGCTTGCTGGTCTTGGGAGGAGAGGCGTCGAGCGCGATGAACTCGGATGAGCAACAATGTGCTGCTGCTGGGACCGGGAGGCTGCGAGATAGACACCTCAACGGAGGACGACGAATCCGCAAGACGGAGAGGCCGTCGTAACGTCTTGGTGGAAGGAATCCAACGGTTCGGAGCCATCATGAAGAATCCATGGTTGCACACCGCCTTCTCTAGATTGAACGTGGAAGAGCTTTTGCCTAAGCGCAACTGGAGATCGCAGCAATCTTCCATGTCCGACGTCAACAGAAGGGAAAAGAAACACAAAAAATGAGGAAGATCCTTAACGCTTCCTTAAAATGCAAAGATTGCACAACGTTTCAATTCATGGGAATCCTCAACCCCTCGACTGATGCAAACAAAATAAAATTCGACAGGTCAATTCCATCTCATACTTATGGTGACTCCTCGTTTACCTCTATTGGGAGCGAGAGGACGAAGTAAAACTAAATGCAGACAGACGAGGCGCTCTTCTAGGAGTCCCCGCAGAATGTTTACTATTGACAAGCAAGAAAAAGAGAGAACAGCAGCATCGAAGAGTCGTATCCAAGCTAGAACGAAGATTCATAATAACCCCTGCTGAATGATCATTAAATAATTCTAGATATCATACTAAATTTATGAGTATCTATGCATGCATTGGTTGGTCGCTTCGACAATTTCTCTGAAGCTTATCTAAGATTAATTTGATATCGATGAGGAGAATTAGTAATTTAGAGAAAAATCAACTGAAGAAAAACATTAAATTTTCAGATTTTATGACAATCTGATTGTTTATTATAAGAACAGATGGTTGAAAAGCACTTGCAGGATTGCACCATTCTTATGTCCATGATATATAAGCACAATTGATAAAGTTTTTAATAGCTATACCTATGTGATAGTCGTGGAACCGTGGAAGAACATTCGTGAGCGGCTTGCCGAAATGGTCGATTGAGTAGATTTAAAACGTTGAACAAATTGTTTCATGGTGTCACTTTTATAGTAGATTTGACTACATAATGCTTTCGTTGGGTTTTTTCTATATTAATATGTCTAACGAAGTAAGAATGTAAAAGCATTTCAAATTATTTTTAATTATTAAAACATTATATAAATTGCTAAAAGTTTGTAGTATTTGATGTTGAACACTAAAAAGTACAAATTAAAAGCTAAAGTACAATGAAACATCGCAAGAAGGATGGCAAGATCGTATTTTTGCTACATGTCGTGTTTATTACATGCAAAATATATCTTTGTTTCTAACACATTCAAATGTCAATTTCTTTGTACATGGGACGCTGTGTATATTTGCTAGTATATAGAGATATTAACCCATTTTTTTATCAAAATTTTAATTTGTTATAAGAAAAGATGATTAATATACTAAATACTAGGCAATTATTATGTATTCGAATTTAAAAAGTAACGCATTATTTGATTACCTGCCAATCATCTTTATTATCGTAAATGATGATTTTGTTCATATATTGTTATGTATGTTCGTAGTGAATTTTGTACAACTATAGCACCATGGAAATTCATGTCATTTTATGCCTTCTTTCTGTGACATCACTAATTAAGTTAGTAGTTAGCACATATCTATATATCAATATATAATTATAAACTTGTATCATGTATTAATTACACTACATTGATGATCCATTGGTGTTAATTGATTTTACTTTAGCTAATTGATTTATATTATTATTTGATTAATCTTATATATAGTATGGGTTTTTGTCCATTAATAATTAGAGGTTTTGTAATTAGTGTTTGTTAGTTAAGTATGTTCTTATCTCTATTATAAAGAAAATGTATATCTTATGTCTATTATTGCTATAAAAAATATTTTCTTACATCTATTGTTAATTAACATTTTCTTATACATATTATCATTATTATCATAATACCACTATTATATTTATGGAAAAAAAATTCGTGCATTAATGATGTCAAATAAATTAATGAATATCTCATATACGTATAAAAATGGGTTATGAGGATCCATTACCGTAATTAATTTTTTTGTCCAGGTAAATAGTCTTGGCTAATTATCTTCAAGTGGATGATGACCGTTTCATCCCTATTGCCCTTGCTCACATTATAAATCACATCAATGGTTGGTAATGCCTACTGTTTTTGATACCAGGTTTCAAAAGAGGTGCGTGGTGAATATCGCTAATTCAATAAGGATACTTTCGAAAATTTTCATGTTTATATTCTCGTCATTGTAAGCAAGACCATTTTCACCTTCCACTTCTACATAATATTTATCTCTTTCCCTTTTTTCTTTTACAATTCTCTAAATTGAAATATCATAATCCATTTTCGTATTCCTGTAGATCGTATATACCTTATTTGGTATAATTACTTAGTCGGATAAACGGAAACTTTCACATCCAATTTTAAGGAGGGGAGATTCTATAGGATCATATCCCAATTTTTCTTTTGCTAGGCCCATAGCTAAAAAACCTACTTTCTTACAATTACGAGGATTATTCAAATATAAAATATTTCCTTGTTCCAAGATATTTTATCCTTGCGTTGAATCATTGGTTTTAGATACTTCAGCGATTTGTAATCGTTTCAAAGTGGTAACAACATGCCTCTTTTCTTGATTTATTTCTATCAAAGAATAATGGTTAATTCCCGCACGATGCACTTTTGATCAAAAGAGTTCCACTAATTTCAACAAAATTTTCCTTTTTTGGATTTGAACATGCTCGAATTGGATCCTTTCCATTTAGAAATCGAAAATAGACTACACTTTCGAAGTTGAACCAACTTATTATTTGGCACAAACCCTAGATCCTTGCCTTGAGAAATGAATCAATACTTTCTACTCGAGTTGCATCACATACTACTTACGATACAAACCAAGAAAAGATGAGGGTTTTAGTGGAACAGAACAAATGATGTTGAACCAAGAGTACCTTCATTCCTATATAATATAATAAAATAAGAGAGATGGGTGTATGAATCCGCAACTGATCATGTCCTTCAAGTCGCACTTTGTTTTCTACCACAATGTTTCAAACGAAGTTTTACCATAACATTCCTTTAGTCTGGAACTGATATTTACTTGATTTAATTAGGGAATTACATTTTACCCACGTGTTAATCATTCTTTCACAGTCTTGTAGCATACAAATTAATATTATTATCCAAATAGGAGCAAATATAAAGGAACAAACCATTGACATTTTTTAATATGCAACTAACACATACATTTTAAAAGGAAATCTTTAATGTATAGAACTTTCTCTAAACCATATGGTGCTCTTTGTGTGCACCACATTTGAAATGTTTGCCAAGTTTTTTTAATCTGAGTGAAGAAAAGGTAGAGAAACAAGATTGGTGTCTGACCAAAAAAAAAAAAACCAGCAAGATAATAAATATATGACGATGCAATAGTAGAAAATTTTAATTGTATTTTATGACTATTATAATAAGTGAAGTCTGTAGATTTGTTTCTTCAAATGTAACCTCTTTTATATATTAAAAAGACACTTAAAATGTAGCCCGCGCAAAGCCCGGGTATGAAAACTAGTTTTGCTTTTAATTGTAGATTAAACTATAAATATTGCATGAAAGTGTGCACATATAATTTTAGTGAAAATGTAATTTCTTAGAAACTCTCTAATGTCCAAGAAGCGAAAGTTAGAAGGTTATCACTATAAAAGTAAAGCACAATAAAAAGAAAATTTGGTATTCTAAAATACGAGGATGAAATAACCATTAAATTTATCACTTAGATTTAGTTATTTCGTAAATGTTTACTCTCTCTTGACTGTCTTGATTTTATTTTCTAAAATCTATCTTTTTTAAGTACCATTTTAATTATGTACGTTAAAAATCCAAACTGTAGATATGACAATAGCCCACACAAAGAGTGAGTCAAGCACCAAAGAGGATACTTGAGAATTTGAATTTAAATGATACATTATGGTTTAAAATTTGATTCAATGCATAAGAAGTCTTCAAGATGCTTTCATTTTCTATTTTAAAATCGAAAGCTATCAATTTTTTGAGATAAACATATCAATTTCAAGGGTAGGTTCTCACATATTAGGGCAACATATTAGACAGGACCTTTCAATTTTACCACATTTTGTAATTGATGTTTCAAATTTGAAAAGTTTCTCCATTTTAAATTTTCCACTTAAGAGCAAATATGGTTAAGTTCGCTATACAATCATTACCAAAATGTGATTGCTTGCGAATCGATTCATATATCATCCCATAGATGAATAACAACAAAACACATTCGACACTCTTCCAATCAGTTGAGTTGAATTTTAATGACCAAAAGATTCGATTTCTTTGGATTTTTGTTTATTTCAAATATGGATTTTGTTTACTTTTCATAGTCAATTCGGATCGGGCAAAATTGGTTTTCGGGTCTTTTGGGCGGGTACGTACCTCTTCTCAAAGTTCTGCTCATGGGGCGAGGCTATTTGCAATAAAAAAAAAACATTATGGGGGGACTTTGGGGGATTAGTGATCAATACAGGGGGCAAATATGGAATTTTCTGAAGTTAGTCTGTCATACGCAGAGTCACGACTTAAAATGGTGCTCTTCTCGATGGAGAAAAGAAGCGCGAAGAGAATCAGCATGCTGCGGAGGAGATAAATGCTCTGCAATTTTCAAGAATCATGCTTTCACTTCTCAAATGGATGTTCCTCGCTTAGCCCGCACAGGTTGGAACTTGTGGAGACACCATCATTGCTTCTGGTAATCATCTCTCTCTCTCTCTCTCTTAAAATGCATGCAGTCCGTTCTGATTCAGTTTGTCTAGCTTTTTCCTCTTCAGCTTCGTGAAGGAAAATGCTTTTTTGGGGTCCGTTCTGATTCTCTTTTGCACATTCTTTTACCTGTGAATTTGATACGACACTTAAAGTTTCGATCTGTTGTTCTTGTTTGTGATTTTATTTCATGAGAGTGATGATATCGTCCACTAAGCACCAGTAGTCCAGCCATGCATTTGTAAAATGAAATGTGAAGCTCGTGCACTGAGTCTAGTCTATTTTTACTGGTAAAGATTGTTATATCAAATTCTTCTGATGAGTTGCTTGCATCCTGCATCAAAGTTGGACCAGTCAAAAACCTCTAGTAACTCTTGTTTCTGGAGGAAAAGACAATATCCAATAAATTGTTGCTTTTATCTTTTAGAACGAAAGATTATTAATGATGAAGCATAAAGATATTGACCTTTAAAAACTTTAGCGGTCAGCATTTTTGCTATTTGGAT